TTCCGCGGTCGGTCGATTTAGTCTGCCTACGACAACGATTCGAGCCGGTCGAAATTCATCGACTTTTCGCATTCGCCCTTCGCATATTCTCGCTCGTGTCGCGTACGCAGTAGGCTTACTCGTCTCAAATTCGGTCCGAATTGTCTCGACATACGATCGCATTCATATCCTCGCGGCGGTCAATTCGGTCATATCTCAAACTGTATTCTTCAATCAGTTAGTGCTAAGACATTGTGAACGATAATTGTGTGGAGTCCGAGAGTCGACGCTAGTTAACCGCATCGTGAATGTCCTCTGCCTTGTGCCAAATTCTTCGCTCATCTCTGAGTGTCTCTCTCTCAGTTTCGGGCGATCTCGTCGAGGTCGACTCCCGAACAGGTGCTTTATTATAGTGTTTTGGAAAGCTCTCAAGATAAGCTATAAGAATATGCAATAAAAAATAGGGGATTCCATTTAAAGAATTAAAGGTGTCCAGCACAAATAACTGCAACCGATATACTTAGTTTTGTTCTTAAACCGTAGTATAAGCATGGAAAGCGGTGCTTCCAAACTCCGAATAGCTGTTCGATAATAACTCTGGTCTTCCTATGTGCATTATTATATCTAACTTCTGCATCGTTATCAGGCCTTAATACAGGAGTCAGTAAATATTTTCGACATGCGTATCCACTATCTCCAAGTAAAATTCCGTCGAGGTATCCCAATTTGAAACGACACCGAACACCGCTTCTGATCAAAGATTACAGCATCGTGCGCTGAACCAGGATGTCTCACAACAATGTCCAAAAATTTCCTTCGAGGCCCACATACAACCTATAACATACAATGAATATTTTAACTCACTTTATCCTGTTCTTTTCATACTAAATACAGCAATTGAACGACATACCTGCACATTCAAAGAAAACCATCCTTTTCGATTCCGAAACACCTCTCCATTATTTCCTCCAGGATTGGCAATACGTATATGAGTACAATCGATACATCCTATTATACATGGAAAATTCGCTATTTCATAAAATCTATTAGTATTTTGCCTTTGATGCTGTTGTGTAGAGAAGTTTATGTATTGCCCTACATAGGATGCTAAAATTCTTGACACTCGTGCAACAATACGCGATACAGATGCTTGACTGTATCCTCTAATATCTCCGTTAACAATCTGAATAAAAAGTACATTAAATATATGAGAAAGATGTATACTTGATAAGCAAAAAATAAAATTTACATACATACTTGAAAGCTACTTGTTGCATAAAATCGTACAGTTATTAAAAGTTGCATCAACGGAGAAACCGGTAGTTCACGATTATTGAATCGCCTTAATCGAGCATCTACCAGAGGTAATAAGGTCTCGATCACAGCTCCTTTGCTGAATCTGTATCTTTTCCGAAAAGGAATATCTTCAAAAAATTCCACGGGATTTTCTCAATCGCGAATGTATCTTTTCGGAATCCGCCATAGAATCCGATTCTCTAGATTTTCGTCTTCAAATCCATCGTCAGAATCATTTAAAAATTCATTGTCCATTATCCCTTTTTTCCTTTATACACTTTCAGTTTGAGAGCGCGACAACAAATAACCACAAAACCACAGATTGAAATGTAACGAAACTAACTTTTGGAGGTTATATTTGGTTATATTCTGCGTATCGTCTGCTAAAAAGGTCGCATCCACTCCTCAAGGAAGCTCGTGACCTTCCTTGAGATAAGGGAACCAATAAGATTCCTTGTTCGGTCAAGGAAAGTTTATAAAACGTGGAACGAGGAACAAGGAATCCTTATTCCTCAAGGACGGACTATGAATACGGGTATAACACACCGCCGCAAATTCTCACTAACGTCATACGATTCAAGTATCTTTGATCCCGACGAAATCTACTCGAGACATGTATAACTCAAACGCTTCCGCATCGCAACCCAACACATCGGAAGATATCGATGAGGGAATTAAGCGATTACAAGAAGAAGCAAATAGAAACGCGACACAATCAAACGCGCAAGTTCAAGCAGCCGACGACCTTAGGAACATATTGCGAGAAATGAGAGAGGAAATGAGACGGGAAATTAGAAGTATGCATGCCGAGATATACGATTTAAGAATGAGAGGACCGCAACCCCGACAAAACAATGAGCATAGAACTCCGCCGGGAGA